CAAAGAAACATTTTTTTAAAGAAGCATCCCTGGAAGTTGTTTCAAATGATGCAGGAGTTAAAGTCAGATGAAGGGGGAAGATGAGGGTCACATGATGCTGAGAGCCCTTCATAGGCTCCCCACAGAACCAGCAATCCTTTTGCCCTTGCCTGCTCTCCTGACTCCTAGAATAGTCTGAGAGGTTTATAGAGTCACAGCTCCTCCAGAGCCAGGCAGCTTTAGAACTTACTGCCACCCTATACTGTCCTTAATGGGGATTTGGCTGCTTTTCAGAGGCTTGGGAAGCCCAGGCTTCCATCTGTGAGTCTAATTGCCCCCTCTGGAACCACTGTCACCCACGGAGTTTCTGGCCTCTTACGTTCTTCGGAGATACAAATTTGAGGAGTCCTGCCAGCCTCCTCTCTTAGATTCATCCTTGTTCTCTACTTGTGACTCTAATTCATCAGCTCCCCCTCTGGTCTCCCTGCCTCCTTCCTGCCCAATCTGCTTTCCCAAGCCCAAGAATAGGGTTGTGTTTATACCCTTCTGCTTGCACAGCAAGCCCTAAGCTTGCATGCCATGGAGCTTGTCAGATATATTTTCTGTCCTGGACTTACTGTCCCCCCACCCACCATCAGGACAGAATGCATGCTTCACCTTTCCCTCGCTGCCTTTGTCTGTGCTGTTTCTATATCCATTGGAACACCACGGTCCAAACCTTCATGTTGTTGTTGTTGTTATATGCCGTCGAGTTGTTTGCGACTCATAGCGACCCTATGCACAACAGCCCTAAACCCTGCTCTATCCTGCGCCAACCACACTGCCTCTGACACACCCATCCCGATTACCCCAGTCACCGAATCAATCCATCTCATAGAGGGTCTTCCCCTCCTGCGCTGTCCCTCCACCCTCCCAAGCATGATGTCCCTCTCCAAGGACCCGTTCCTCCTGGCAACATGTCCAAAGTATGTCAGACGAAGCCCCAGAATCCTTGCCTCCAAGGAGTAGCTTGGTTTAATCCTCTCCAAGATGAATCTATTTGTTTTCCTGGCAGTCCGTGGTACATTCAGTACTCTTCTCCAGCACCACAGCTCAAAGGCATCAACTCTCCTTCTGTCCTCTCTAGTCATTGTCCAACTCTCTGATGCATAAGAAGCGATTGCAAAGACCATGGCCTGTATTAGGCGCACCTTAGTCTCCAGAGAGACACTGTTGCTCCTGAGTACCTTTGAGAGGTCCCTAACAGCAGACTTTCCCATCGCGATAAGCTTTTTGATTTCCTGACTGCTGGTGCCAAGAGTGTTGACTGTGGAGTCGAGCAAACTGAAGCTGTGAACAATCTCAATCTCTTTGCCATCCATCCTGATGCTGCCAATTGGTCCAGTGGTGAGAATCTTTGTCTTCTTGACATTGAGCCTCAGTCCATACCGAAGGCTGCAGTCCTTGACCCTTCGCAGCAAGTGCATGAGGTCCTCCTCAGTTTCAGCAAGCAGGGTTGTGTCATCTGCATAACGCAGATTGTTAATACATCTTCCACCAATCCTGATGCCACAATTCTCCTCATAGAGCCCAGCCTCTCGGATAATCTGCTCTGCATACATGTTGAAAAGGTATGGAGACAGGATGCACCCCTGGCGTACACCCTTCCCAATTTTGAACCATGCAGTGTACCCTGATCTGTTCTGACTACTGCCTCTTGGTCCAAGTATAGGTTTCTCATTAGCACAATTAAATGCTCATATCTACTGGAAAAATCCTACCGAGCTCTCAAGATCTTAGAACTAACAGTGCATCCATAATGCATGGGCTCCGAGAAGAATTGATGGCCATGCCCAGAGCCCACCACCCTCAATCTCCTCTACTCTTCTACAGAGTTCATGCACCCTTCTTTGACCAGCTGGCTCAGTCTGTGTGGTCTCAGATATAAGCCAGATTCCATCTCCATGCCTTTCTTGGGCAGTCTGCTGAGCCCTCCATTTCCCCCAGCAACCCTTTTGGACTTCATTCTGGCATACTAAGCCATCAGAGATCCTCTCCCACCTCTTCATCATCAAAGGAGCATGCTCTTCTTTCAAAGATGTTTCTGTAACTGCCACATTCTTTGGGGAAAGTTCTGGTTCCCTTTAACAGAGTAACAGTCCCCTTCTCACAAGTAGCTACAATTAACCATCTTCGTCTTAGCCATCTCCATAAACATCTCCTCATGCTTCTCTCCTATATCCCAAGGCAGGGGAAGCAGACACCAGTGTCTGGCAGAGCCCAGACAATGAAGTGGTCAGTAGGCAAGCCTCAGACCCAAGTGCTCCCCTGGAGTTACAAGAGCTGTCCAAGCATAGCTGCCTCTTTGCTTTACCTCCATCCAAGTAGAAAAGGCTTCCTGGATGCCTGCTGCAGCACCCTATTCCAGTTTTTGTGCATAAGCCTGGCTGCCTACTTGTCTGGTCCAGTATCTCAGGGAGGGCAGAACAACATCACAAATGAGAAAGGCATTCCTGTTACTGTTAGATTCCAGTGTTAATACATAGGTAGTTTCCAATAAGTGAGCAATAAGTTATTCCAAATATACTCACAGATAGAAGAAAAATAAGAAGGCAAAAGACAGGGTATTTCTGTCATCTGATCACCAAACTCACTGAGATAGGTGGCTTCAGAAGTTCCCAGACCAGCAACAGGTCTGTCTGTAGTACAGCTCTGTCCAGCCTAGTTATCACTGCACTGTAAAGCCAGCAAGGGCAGGCTACAGTCTTCCAAGACAGGTGTTCAGATCACTGCAGAGAAGGTACCCATCAAGGAAGTGGAGGCCCCCAAACAAGGCTCCACATAGTCAAGGGAGTGTCTACTACAGGCTTTGCAGACTTATCTCAGGGAAACACAGTGAGGTTCACTGAGTTCCCTTAAGTATCCTTCTACCCTCAAGTGGCCTTGGAGGATTTCCCTTAAATAGCTGAAGGCTGTTGAGACACCCTCTGGCTAAGGAGCCCAGCCAGTAACTGAGAAACAGACAGGTATACTGGACTCCCTGGCAGGAGACCACAGCTCCTGTCATGCGGGCAGGTGCACATTGGAGGCACTGAGCTGTGTGTCAGAACCTACTGTTTACATCCTTTCTGGTTATGACATGTTGGTATGCCATGTTCTCTGTGAACTCTGAGTCATCTCAGGGAGTTATGGAGCCACAGGGCCAGTCAGGGTTGGCAGGGGCTGCATCTGCCTGTTTGGCAGTCTGAAGGACTTTGTCTTTTCAACTTCTGAGTTCTCACCCAACCCTAGATATCTAGGAACAAGAGACAAAAGAAGCTGGCTGGTCTGAAGTGAAGGGAATTGGGAGGACTTGAGTGTGCAGCTGGTAACCCCTAACCAAGACCCAGATGGGATAATATTGTATCAGCAGGATAGCAGGTGATGAGGACGGAGAAATGAGAAGATCAGAACTCGATCTGCTTCCAAGGGGGCATTATTTGTGTTGATACCTACCACACAGTCAGCAATGAAAGTAGGATTTGCCTGTGGTATGTCTTGCTCAGGGCACAGCATGCCCAGGTGAAGCTGCAGTTGTCGATTCCACAGAGGACAGGTCCCAGGAAGGCCTTTAAAATCCAGGCAGACAGGAGTCCATGGACAAGGGACTTCTGCCTACCCTGGCATATTGGCCTCAGCATCTAGTTTCCCTGGAAATGGACCCAGGAGAGGAAAGCCCTAGCCCAGCAGCATCACTGCCTGAGGGGTTCCATCTCTCATTCCTGCCCAGGGAGACCTCACCATCTCAGGCTTAGCTGATATCTCCATGATGCCCCAGAGATCTGCCTAAGATCCCTGAAGTTTATGCTCTCTGTAACTGGGCCCATCTGTCCCCCAGAAAAGACATATCCATGTCACCGGACTCTCCTAGAAGGTTACCTCAATTAACTTGGTTTGTTCTAGCTTTCTGTAAAGGTCAAGAATTCAAAGTGAGAATTTCAGGACTGAAGGCCAGCTCGACCAAATGTCCAGCTTTATAATTGTTGCATGTCTCTCATTTGTACAATGGAGTGGTGGAAAGGATTGTTAATCCCTCATGTTAAACTAAAGGAAAAGATGGAGACTGAAATAAGAAATTTCTAGTTGGTAACAATAATATGCTACATATGTCACGTACTGCCTAAGACAGTTGCAGCCCACTTTTACCACCAGAGTGAGACAAAGACTAAATAATCAAGCTTAGTAGTCTAGGAAATTCAAATAGTATTTCCATTCCAAAGGCCTCTTGGATATCAGCATTTCTGTGAAATGAGCATTGGTGATGGAGAGGAGAAAGGCAGGAGTCCTTTTGTTTGGTCCAGAGGGCCCAGAGCACCCAGAGCTGTAGTAGAGATCTCATTTAACTTTAGATACCACTGGCTGGCTCCCCACTGGTACAGGCAGAGACAGCTTCCCAGTATGAAAATGGGGGCCTGGGACAGAGATGCAGAGGCCCTGAGACTTGTGTGGGCACCATTGCTCTGAGGACGGTAGCACAGAAGGAAGATGGGAGGGAGTATCTTCTCATTTATGCACACCTTGTGGATAACCACATATCTGAGAAAGGTTGGCCCTTCCACAGTGCCATGGGAGAGTCACAAGTTCTAGTGGCCATGACCTGCTCCTAGCGGCACACTGGCTTGCCTAAACCTTGCATGTTGGAAGCATTGTCTCCCAGACCCACACTAGTTTACCAGTGAAGATTTTGGAGCTCTTGTAAGAGTCAGGGGCTGCTGGACAGGGTGAGAGGCACTGCAATAAAGCCAGAAGAGGGTCATTGTCTCTGAAGGCTTTGATGCAGATGTGTGTTTACTATGCTTCAGCAAGCATCATTTTATCTAGCAAATGTAAGGCCTAGGTCCAACTGATCAACAGTTAAGCTAAAAACGATGGGTTTTAAGTAGGACTGTTAAGTAAACCTGCTTTGCAATCAATTTACTCACATCTTCAAAGTGTGGAGCCCACTCGGCATACTCTTCTTTCAGAAACAATTCAAGGAGGGGTAGGGGAAGGGTGGTGCTTACCGTGGCTAGCTCATCAAACTTCCCGAAGAGTTCATTTAGGAGTTTCACCAGCTCCTGGGCAGTGCACTGGGACGCCAGCCCTGTGAAGCCCACAATGTCCGCAAATAGAATGCTGTTGAGAGAAAGGGGGCACTGGTATGTTCCCCAACAAAGAAACCACCTACTTTTAGCAATAATAACCCCAACTTACTGCAGACATTTTATTTATAGACCACTTTAAACCAGACAACCTCCTTTATATATAAGAAGACATGAAGGTGCCATTGCTCTCATTTCACAAGTGAGAAGACAGAGGCTCAGTGATGCTCCAAGGTTTTGTCTTGACCACAAAGGAAACAGAGAACACTACCCACTGTTCTCTTACCAGACACTATGACAGAGGGCTCAAGACGCATGTGAGCAGCGTAAGGATGTTCAATGTATGGCTCTCCCCACTCCTTTCTTTCTTTCTTTCCCTTCCAGTAGCCCAGGGCAGATGCAAAGAAGGAAGGAGCTGGAGCCTAAAAATGCACAGGGGCAGAATCCGGGGATTTCTGTTTGGACATGTCCCCTCCCCCAATATGGCAGCCCTGAGTGAGGGAACACATGCTCTATGTGGAGACTCAAGTGTACTGCAATGCCCCTGGGTGGCACAATAAATACCTGGCTTTTAACCAGGATGCTGGAGGCCAAATCCACTCAGAAGTAACTGGGAATAGAGGCCAGGCACTCTGTCTGTAAAAGATCACAGCCACACACAGGAGCCACAATGTCCTGAGTCACAGCTGATTCAATTACCACTGTCTGCTTGTTTTCTACATTCAACAGAACCTAGGATTGACTTCACTGTCTACCATTCAACTCCATTTTTTTCAGAGCCCTAGTGGCCAGAAGCTGTGCTGCAATCCCAAAGGCACATGGTTCAAACCTACCAGTTGTTCCATGGGAGATGGGCAAATCTCTTCCTGTGCAATTAACTACCTCTGAAAACCTGCTAAAGGGTCAGCTATGGGTCAGTTCTGACTTGATTGTATTCAACAACAACAACAACAACAACCACAAGAAGACTTCAAAAAGAATTAAGTCTACAGTTTCCTCTTCCTATAAAAGAAAACATACTCATAAAATACTTGAGAAGTGAAGAAAAAAAAATTCAACAAATGTGATTTTATCCTTAATATTCTATAGTTTTACAATATGTAAGAGTGATGTCCATTTATTCATCTCCTTCAGTGTTTTTTGATTCTCTAAACAAGGACAAGAAAGGGTCATTCTTGACCTACGATGAAAGGAGCCACCTATGTGGCCAACATCTATGTGTCCTGTTTCACCTGCTGATACTAGGCCGACCAGGCCTTCCAATGAACATCTCTTTCCTACTCTGCCCAGTCCCGCCACACCCAAGATAAAGGGTCCTGTTCTACATCAACCCAGAAGGCAGCATGAAGCTGGCCCAGGACCTGACATCAGGAGTTCAGGACTTTATGTGACTCCAGGGTTCATGATCCTCAGCAAGAAAGTGAACAACAGGGGTTTCATAGTACTAAGACTTACACCAAAGAGCCCCAATGATGAAATTGCTAAAAGCTCAGCTAGAAGCCAAGAGATTAGCAGTTCAAACTCACCAAACTTTCTCCACAGGAGAAAAGATGTCATGATCTTCTTCTATAAAAAAAGAGTACAGCCTAGAACTCTGATGGAGAAATTTTGCTCTGTGTATTAGGTTACTGATTTTCTCACTCTGGGTTCACTTTTAAAGTTTGGCTTAGTGGTAATGAATTGCACTGCCAACACAGAAGTACATGGTTCAGGCCTTCCCACTGCTTCATGGGAGAAGGACTGGCAATCTCTTCCCGTGTAATTTGCTGTCTCTGAAAACCCACTGGAGAGTCAGTTATGGGTTAGTTCTGACCCAACAGTGTACAACAACAACAATATCTGTTCACTAACCCACATTTACTGATATTCTACCATGTGTCAGTTGCTATGCTATGTACTGATGATGAAAAAAATCAGATAGGATTCCAGGAAGAGAACAGCTCATGGTCTGAATGTTGTTGTGTTTACCATCGAGTTTGAAATGACCCATAGCTGACTCTCCAGTGGGTTTTCAGAGGCAGTAAATCACATGAGAGGAGATTGGTTACCAGAGTTGCCGGTGGATTAAAACCATATACCTTTGGACTTGCAATGCTACTCCTTACCACTAAGCCATTTGACCTTCCTTATAGTCTGAATAGCTGCCATCAAGTCAACTTGGGCTCACAGCCACCCTTATGTGTCAGAGTAGAACTGGACTCCACAGTATTTTCAGGGGTGTCTTTTTTTAATGCTGATTACCAGGCCTTTATTCTGAGGAGTTTCTGCACAGACTCAGACTTTTAAATTTCTGGTCAGGAGCTGAGAGTGTTAACCATTTGCACCATCCTGGTCTAGTGGGGTAAAAAAAACAGTTACAACTGAGACAATTCCAAGGCGGTACAGTTAACAAATAGCTACTGATTGAAATATCAAAGGTTCAAGCCCAAAGACACTTGGAAAAAAGGCTGAGTGATCTATTTACAGCATAGTGCTACCCTGAAACCCAGGTGTCCCACTCCACGCTGACCAGATCTAGTGCAGTAGAGAGGTAAAACAACCACTCCACAGAAGGTGTTAACCAAGGTCAGAAAAAAGAGTTTCTAAACCATTTGGCCCTGCATTTCCCAGAGAATGTTTTGTGGGATACTGTCCTTGCATGCACAAATGATTTATACTTGATTGTTAACCTAAAAGTTGACAGTTTGAGCCCACTCAGTAGAAAAAAGGCCTGGTCATTTGTTAATGATTATAGCCAACAAAATCACATAGGTCAAGTTCTACTCTAAGACTGGGGGTCGCCAAGAGTTAGGATGAACTTGATGGCTATGAATTACTGTTCACATTAAAAAAGAAAAAGGCAGAGAGAGACTTCCTTGAGTGTAACATTTAAAGGAGTGGAGGATCTACTCAAAACCCAGCATCCTGAATCTAAGTGTGGCAGGAGGCAGGGGGACTTTGATTGGATTATGGTTTTGTCTTGAATTCTCTCAGCATCCCGAATATCTGTAATTGTGGCAGGAGGCACAGGGACTTTGACTGGACTAGGGTGCTGCCCTGACCATTGCTGGAAAGGTCTCCTGAGTTCAACCACTGAGCTGCTGATCCAGAAACTTGGCCACCCACCTGCAGGCCTTTCATCCCACAGGCAGAGTAAGCCCTTTGTTCATGCAGTTGCTACAAGGACAACACCTTGTAATTTGCAGTCAAAAGGCCTGTTCCAGACACTTGGGAAATCAGTGAACACATGGTAAATCCTGGTGAAATTTTCTGAGACCTGAGCATAAAGGTGTGACTTTCAATGAATAAAAAAAGGTGGCATCTCAGTATCTTGTCCCCTTCATCTCTGACTTCTTGTCCCCACATCTTAACTCAAATCTACAGTTTCAATTATTTATTAAAAAAAATGGAGACCAAATCCATGTTTGTTCACAGCAGGAACCTGACCAGGTGCTCAATTATACCCATATTCTACCACCAATTCTTATGCAGAGACAGCTGCTGAGCTTCTCCAATGAGATTCTCAGCATGTCTCATCACTTTCTCAGTGGGGCTGGGTGCTGAAAACAAGTTCTAACTCACACAGTCAGCACAGTGGGTACTGTTTCAATGTATCATTCAGAATAGATGTGTAAATGAATGAATGAATGAATGTGTAAATAAAACCTGGGAGATTAGGGTATTGGAAGTATAATTAATTAATACTGGAAAGCTGAGAGCAAGAATTACAGGGAGATTGAAACAGACAAAACTAGTGGTTTCCTTCCATTTTTAGCATAAAATCCAGGCATATTTATACTTTTGAAAATCAGTGAGTTTTTTCCTTCTTTCTCCTGCAAATAATAATTTATTCAAATGTCTTTCTCTTAGTCTCTGACTAATCACCTCCACTTGTTAGGGAAAACTTACTCCCCAGGACATCCTAATTAATCCATCCACAGAGGTCAAAATTTATGAAGTACCTCTCCCATGCCACGCAAGGTTCTCAAAGAATAGGAGGAAGAGGCTCAGGCCAGGAATGACATGTCATAAGCAATTTAGCAAAGTGCAATGATGCAATGATTCAGTGGCCCAGGAATGTTCCAAGCAGGCACAGCGCCAGCTCTGAAGGCCAAAGATGGCTTCACACCTAAGTCTAGATCCTGCATAAAATCTGAAGCCTGCATGGGTATTACTAAGATTATGGAGGGAAGGAGAAAGAAAAACACAGAAAGGACAAAAAGCATACTCAACATGAGTGAGAAATACTCAATAAGCTTGCCAAACAACAAACAATGGTGAATAACTAGAGCATGAAATATGAGCCGTAAACAGCAGAGCACAAGACTCCCAAGAAGACCCCGTAGCCAGCTCTGGAAAAAAAAAAAAGAGGAGAGCTGAGGGGATGAGCATGAATTCATCAAGATAGCCCATCTTTAATACTGAAACCTGGACAACTTGTCTAATTCCTCCATGTGTCAGTATTTTCATCTGTAAAGTGGGAAGAAGACTACAGGCAGTTCCCAGGTTATAAATGCCCAATTTATATACAATCTATAGTTATAGAATCCCAGGAGGAACCATTACAGAAAAAAAAAAATTGCTCTGTATACCATGGGTGCTACTTTTTAATGTGCATCAAAGCTGCTTTAGTGTATCAGTTTTTCTTTAACATCCCTTATGTGTGGAAAAATACACTCTATGACATATACACTAAGATAAACATTTGACTGATTTTAGATACAAGTTGTACCTAACTGTTCCAAATTAAGAACAAAATTGACTTAAAGAATCTATTCCTAATCTAGGAACTGCCTGTGGTACCTATATAAATTTGTAGGATTAAATTAATTACATTTAGAACAACACTTTACACTTAATTGAAAAAAACAAAACCAAAACCAAAACAACAAATATCAACTCAAACTCATTGCTGTCGGGTGGGAACTGACTCATAGCTGACATCCGGTGCATTTCTGACGCTGTAAATGGTAGAACAGGAGATTATCCATCTTTCTCCTAGAAAAATTTTTTTAGGCACTAGAAAAGCTCAATAATTGCTTATAATAATTTGTAAGTATTATAATTCATTAAATCTTCCATCACATATTCCTTAAGGGCTATATGTGCTAGAGAGCTACATGTGCTTAAAGGCTATTGTAATTGCTAGAGATGTAGGGCAAATAAGAGACCTCTATTCCAGACAAGGGGTGAAGAGGTAGAGTCAACACATAAAGTCACAGTATCTCAAGAGTGACAAGTATAATTATGGAGAAAAGTAAAGCAGGGAGTTGGAGTGTCTGTTATCTTAGCTAACGTTGGTCAGGTGACCTTACAGCAGAGACCCAAGGAGAAAAAGTTAGTACAAGAAAAAGAGGGTCCTGAACAGAGGCAAGTACCACAGCTGTGGCTGTAATTCCTTCCCAGATACACTTCTCAGCTGCCTTTGACTTTCACATTGCCAGTGGGAAATCAGCTGGCTTTAGCATATTGCAGATCCTATGGATCTGATGAATGACTTTTCTCTTGGTGCTCTGAAAAGTCTTTTTGTCTTTGTGGATCTTTTTTCAGTTTCAAAAGAACATACAAAAGATCCAGTGTGAAAAACAATGTATATGAACTATGTAAGTAAACCAGTATAAAATAAAACAAAGGGGAAAAACTATCATGGACACCAAAAACAAGGAAAATCAGAGAACACAACAGAATCTGAGACATTGTAGAAAATATGACAAAGTAATGTAAAGATTCTAGGTGGAAGATGTTGATAATAGGGGAGTGGGAGTAATAAAAATGGTAATTACCTATTTGTAATTTTGTTGTTACTCTAAAGTTGTTCAACAAATAAAGTGTTTTAGAAATGACCCAAAAGGGGGCTCTTGTATGTATAAATCAATATTTTAATGAAATTTAGAAAGATTAAGGTCATTATTTCTTCAAAACTTCATTCTATCCTGTGTTCTCATTCTCTCTCTCCCCCTCTCTCTCTCCCTCTCCCTCTCTCTTTCCCTCTACCCCCTCCCCTTTTTCTCTTGCTTCTGGAAATCCCATTCTTTTGGACCACAGATCTCTGAGGGCTATTCATTATTTTTACTTATTTTTTCTTTCTTTTCCTCATAGTAAACAAACCCAACTGATCTATCCTCAGCCTCACTTATTTTTTCTTCACTTAAATTATAGCTGAAGTCCTCTAGAGGATCTTCTGTCTCTGTTGTACTTTACAACTCCAAGATGGTTATTTTTTTTATTTTCTCTTTATTTATTGATTTTCTTTATTTGGTGAGACATTATTCTCATGCTTTGGCTTTTTAGATAGTTTCCTTTAGATTACAGGACATACCTAAAATGGTTGATTTCTTTTTCTTTTTTTTTTTCCAGTGTTATGAAATGCCTTCCTAACTCAACCAGGGAGTTGACAATTTTTCTTTATTGCTCACTTTCCACTTGTGATGAACCTCAAGACCAGCCAAAGAAGAAAGGCTAAGGCACCTTCTGAGGTTCATCACAAACAAGCAGTGGAACTTTCTAGAATACGTCAAGTCAGATAGAGTAATAACAGATCTCAACCCTATGAAAGAATCTCACCCCTACCGTGACACTGTCAGTGGCTTTCAATGTGCTGATTCTCACTAATTTATGGCCATTGATTTTGATGCATTCTACTATGACACTGGCAAGATGGAGATGGGAATATAGTAAATCCAAGTGCCATAGAGCTCACTGTTCTTACTGGGAATAAGCCAATTTTCTTGGAGGAATACTTGCTAGATTTTGGAAAGCCTTGATAGTTTCTAGAGTTCTGAAATTTGGTTGTCACCATTTTTGCAGTATTCTTTTAGCTTTCATGAGGAAGGGATTTTCAGAGCTCCTTTTTCCTCCAGTCCCAATGATGTCAGTTAGCCTGCCATGTATTCTGAATGGTATTCTGAATTTTTAATTTAATCCTAGAGTGATGTAGCAGTCATGGACAGATTTTAAAAAAGATTGTAAAGAGGACAGTGAGGTGGTCATGTCTGGGGTAGGGGAAGATGTCTCTGACTGCTGTCTCTACTTCTTTCCTCTGCTCTCAGGCTATCATACCTGCTGTTGCCATTACCTCAAAGGTGACCTTCATCAGGTTTTCAGGGGCTGTAAATCTTATGGGATGAGATTGCCTGTCATCTTTTTCCCATTGAACAACTTATGGATTTGAACAGCCCGCCTCTCACTAGCTGCATAACTTTTTACCACTAAGTTACCAGTGTTTCCCTACAAACAGACTAAGGTGGAGATTTTTCAATAGGAAGAGAAGTAATCACTCTCTACATCTCAATTTGTTCTTCCCAAGCCAGAGGAGGGAGCTGAGGGTAAGAATCCATGGCTCCTAGGAATGTCTTGATATCTCATACCTCTCTTGCTCTATAGGAGGTCTGACTTCACCTCTAGGAGATGCCTCACTCATCCAGGTGGTTTGCTCTTTTCAATACTATTCTAGTTCATTGCATCATGTCCTGGTCTATTAAAGATGTGCAAAGGGGCAAAATGGGAAATACTGAGGCAGACATTATTCAACTACTCTGAGGTCAGGTCTTAGCTCTGATAGTTATATAAGCTTTCCTTTGTAAGCTTCAGTTTCCTCACCTATAAAGTGGAAGTGATGCTTTCCAAGGTTTTTGGACAGGTGATACTATCAAACCGAACAAGCTACTTAACAGAGATGTTCTGAGCTTGATTTCTGGAGTTAGGTCACCTGGGTTCAAGTATTGGCTCCTTGGCTACGTTCCATACACCATGAGCCTTGTCCCATCCTGTTTCAGTTTCTTTATGTGAAGAATGAGGATGACACTAGTCCTCTCCACAATGAGAAGGCCATAAATAAGAAAGAACTTGGAATACTGTCCAGTCAGCTTGCAGCAAGACCAGTTGGTCAGCTGGCTTTCAATGCGAAATCAGACAGGGGCAAGGAGTACTACAGGAGTTAACCTTCTCAAATCATTTCAGATCAACAAGGATGGACTTACAGGGACTCTGTCCGCTCAATACAGAAAAACAGATAATAAAAATGGTAACTTTTTTGTTGACAGGGGCCTCCTCTACCTTTGTTCAGCAAGCACAGTAGACAAGAAGGACTGAAACTAACTCCCAGAAGAGCCAGTAAAAAACCAGTAGAAAGTAAAAGTGCACTTGGAATTCTTCAAAACGTCCTTCTCCCATCCAAAAGTACACATCTGTATAAAGCATGATCTTCAAACCAACAACATTCCTCCATGCTAGGTATGTTACAACCACAATAAACAGTTTTGAAGCAGGAATATTTAAGGAACAGATTTTTGTTTTGTTTTGCAGTTTTTTCTTTTTGTTGGAACAAATGTTTTTAAAGACAATCTTTAAAACAAACAAGTATATCTTTCAGTGTCTTAAGCAAGTTACTAGGCTCTGAGGGCTCTATTTTCTTACTTATAAAATGTGAATGATAATACTGATCCCCTTAGGGAAATTATGAGGTGTCTACATCAGAGCCTAGTCCCGACAAGAACAATGCTCAGATATGAATCTGATATGAGCAAATCTCCTGCCCAGATAAAATTCTAGGGACAGAATTAGACCCTTTCTAGTTCTCCTGGGAAGAACCAAGGAATTGAAATGGGAAAACAGGAAAGGACAGGTGTCACATGCACCCCACCGCCCACCTGCCTCCACCTCTTGCTCCATTTCCTTGCAAAGAGATGCCCAACAGTACCCTCCTTCATAGAGGGCCTAAGTCAGGCAAGCCCACCTCACGTTGTCATGCCTCTGAATGTAAATCTTGTGGAAAATCCTCTCAGGAGGTTTCAGAAAGTCCTCCTTCATCTCCATGGCAACGTTGCGGGGTAGGAGACTCATCAGGAGCCGTTCCTGTCAAGGAGAAAAGAGCAACATGTTAGAAGGTGGCTGCTCAGCATTTCTTTGGCTAGTCAGACCAAGTTCAAGTGAGCATTGCCCTCAAGCTGCCTGTCATACACATCACCTAGGAGCTCTGACCAGGTACCCCCTCACCTCCTGAGTACCCAGTCAAGTCCACAGCACCCTTACATTTCTCCACCAAACTGAATGTCACATGCTTACTCAACCCACTATAGCCCACAAAGAGATTTCAAGACTTGCTTACAAAGAGCAGATATCTTTCCATGAAAGATAGACTTCTTATTTAGACAGTATAATTTATATCAAAGTAAGTGATGTTTGGTCTTTGTCTTTTTATTCTATTTGTTTTTCCCACTAGGAAAATGGAATAAACATTTATATTTTAAAAAAGATTTAAAAACCTCAGTAAAATAGTAAGCCATGATAGAAACAGACCCAGATAGAAAGACACAAGAAACTAGTTGAAACAGATACCAATGATAACTCCCGAACCCTGAACTTCAAAAGAAAGGACAAAATAGTTGACCAGGCAGCAACTAGAAGAAAACTGTAAACAAAGAAAGACAGCAATGAATCATCAGCTGCCCTGACACAGTGAGGATATTCTGAACTTTTAAAAAAGCATTCAGACAAATGCCTGTTGTGTGCTGTCGAGTCAGAACTGACTCATAGCTGTTCTCCCAGACCATTTTCAGAGGTAGTAAACTGCCCATCTTTGTCTCATGGAGCTGCTATTGAATTCAAACTGCATGTTTTTGGGTTGGCAGCACAACTCCTTGCCACTAATACACAATTGCCTATCTTAGAGGCTGGGAATTAGAAAAAGACAAAATCCTTGTAGTGATCAGAGGTGTGGCCATCCGTCACCACCATCCATCCAGAAAGACACCCACACTCTACACCCACACAGCCCCTCCTCTGTATAAGGTGAACTGTGTGCAAACTTGAGTGCATATCAATGAGCTTAGAGGCACTCAATCAGCTTTCTCAAGTCATCTGAACATTTGGGGCCACCAGATCCCTTGCCCTAAACATCGTCTGAGTACTAGCACCAAGCCATCATCAACTACAGCCACCATCTAGGCTTGTAGGAACTCCTTCTGGGATACCAGGAACCCTGTTCACAGTTAGTTTCTTCTAGTTCAGCAGGATCTTATTTTAGGACCAAGCATGTGGCCCCATTTCAAACTGGACTAGCAGGAGTTCTTTATGCGACCAAGCTTCCTGCCCTTCGTCTTTCTCTGGACCAGCAGGAACTATTTCCCAGCTGACAGAATCTCCTTCTAGAACCAGGCACAATACTACCTGCTGCTTCCTCATTTTCACCTTTCCTTTTTTCCTTCTCATTTCTTCCTCCTTTATAGTTTTACATTCCCTTTTTCTTCCTTTCTTTTCTAGCTATTTTCTTTCCCCTCAAATGTTGTCATATTTTATTCTTTTTTTTTTTTCAATTACTTACCATGCATCAGAGAGCTGGACAATGGCTAAGGATGAGAGAAGAATTGATGTCTTTGTGTTGTGTTGCCGAAGAACAGTATTGGACATACCATGGACTGACAAGAGAACAAATCGATCTGTCCTGGAGAGGGTGAAACCAAGTTGCTCCTTGGAGGCAAGGAGTTTCAAACTTCATCTTACATTCTCTGGCCATGTAGTCAGGAGGGACCTGTACTTGGAGAAGGACATCATTCTTGGAAGGATGGAAGGACAGCACAGGAGAGGAAGACCCTGGATCTGATAGAATCACATAGTTGCTAGGTAATGGGGGTAGGTGTGTCAAAGATAGCAAGACTGGCTCAGGATAAGACCTGGTTCAGAGCTATTGTGCATAGGGTAGTTGTGAGTCGCAAGTGACTCAAAGGCACAAAACAACAACAATATTTTCTCTCATTATTTCTTTTATTTTCCCCCAACCTAGTTTTTGCTTTTGGTTTTTACTCTCTGTTTTCTTTTTCCTTCCCTTAAACCTAGCTTTGGTTTCATATCCTATTATGTTAACATTTTTAATTGTTTTCTTTTCTGTTTTTGTCCTCTTTTTATTGTTATTTGTTTAAGTTTTATCCATCTTTTAAAATTTGCCCCAAGTGGTGAGAGACCAAAACTGCTCACACTCCAGCCCCATCAACACATCTTGCAGCTCCACTATCGGACAAGAATGCCCACCAACCCCCGCACCACCTCACCAATGACAGATGATGGCTTTCACAATTCAAGTCAACCCATAACACTTCTACACCAAAAAGCTAAGATTTATCTGCATATACACGCAGATCCTCCAATGTACCTACAAGGAATATGGTAGTGAGAAGCCTAAATAGTGGCAAGATAGCAAGTCTAGAGGCACGCTCACCCCAAGTGTTCAGATATATCTGAACAAGCTAAAGTGAAACAAAGTAGAAAGAGAAACTGGACAGAATATATCAACATATAATCACTAAATACAGATACAACATCCCCACAACATCTCGGACACATTCTCTGACCTTACCTTGTACTAAGAAACAAGACAAAGTAGCCTAAACAGATGACAAGAAAAACATAAAAACAAAACAAGCCAACAAATCTTTCTTAGGGGGCGGGAACTGGTAGGGTAGGTTCAGAGTTATTGTACGCAGGATCCCTATGAGTCGTAGGCAACTCAATAGTAAATACCAACAACAACAATAAGGAATTAAGAATAATATTTAGGTATTATTGACAGATTTAGAGAAAGTTTAAAAAAATGCTGGAAAAAAGCCAAGGAAAACACAAAGTTCTAGAATAAGGATGTTTTAAAAATTATAATTGTAAAATAAAAAATAAAAATTCAGAAGATTAATATTAAATTTTAGAAATCGATAACACATTGAAAGTGTGAAGAAACAGAATGAAATCAAGAGATATCAGAATCAGTAAAGTTAAATATGAAGCTTTCAATACTAATTTGTTAGAAAAACAATCAGAAAAGAAATAAGAAAGCCTAAAATAATATGGGACAAAATAAAGTGTAATAATTCACCTGTGATGGTAATACCAGATCAGAAAGGCAAAGAAAAACAGAAGAGAAGAGAAAACTGTCAAAGATTTGTTGTTGCAAGGGCAATTTTAATTTTATGAAATATTAGAAGACAAGGTTTGAGAAGTTTAATGAACCTCAAATAAGACATATCCTAAAAGAAAATCACCAAGACATATGATATGTAAATTTCCAGAACTAGAGAGACCAAGGAAGAAGCTTAAAACCAGCCTGGATAACATTAAAAGTTATCAAAAAAGAGAACCAATAAGACTAAGCTCTATTTTTTTAGAAAAAAAGAGGAAACAAACCTCCACAGGTCAGAAAGCAGTAGTATTATGCAAAATCCCTCAAAGATCAAAAATTTCCAACTAAAAATTTTAAACAATAAAAATCATCCACCAAACATGATAGTGAAAAAGGTCATTCCCAGGTAAATAAAAATTAAGAGAATTGTGAAAAACAGACCAACCCCATGTATAATGCCAAGATGGGGGGGTGGGGTCCTTCAAACAAAAAACCACCAAGTTAATTGCTAGAGTTAGGTGCCATCAATTTGAGTACAACTCATAGTGACCCTATGAACACTAGCTATGAACCCTGTCCTATCCTGTGACACACTTGAGCCCATTGCTATAGTAACTGTGCTAACACACTTGGTTGAGGATCTTCCTCTCTTTTGCCAACCCTCCACATTTCCAAGTATGATGACCCTTTCCAAGGAATAGTCTCTCCTGACAAGCTCAATGCAATACTGCTAGTGCCAAAAGTGTTGACTGTGGATCCAAAAAGTAAGATAGGGTCTTTAACAATTTCAAACTTTTCTCCATCTTTTACAATGCTGCCTATGATGTTGAGATGTAATCCATATTGTAATTTGAGGAGCAATAATGTCAAAGATTGAAGACAAAGGTGCATATGATTCAAGCCATGGTCTTTTTAGTCACTTGCTATGGATTTGAGAGCTGCATAATGAATAAGGATTACAGAAGAAGACTTGATTCCTTTGAGTTGTGATGCTGGAGAAGAATACTCAATATCCCATGGAATGTCAAAATAACAAACAGGTATGTCTTGGAGAAAGAACAGCCAGAATGCTACTTGGAGGCAAAGATGACAAAGTTTTGTCTCACATACTTTGGGCATGTTGTACAGAGAGGCTATTCCTTGGAGAAGGCCTCATGCTTGGAAAGGTGGAGGGTTCTTAAACAAGAGGAAGACCCTCAACAAGATAGAATGACACTGTGACTGCACCAATGGGCACAAGTGTGTCAGAGATGATAAGGAGGGCACAGGATAGAAAAGGATTGAGATCTGTTGTTCATAGGGTCGCTATGAATTGTACTCAATTTGATGGCATCTAACAACATGAGCAAAGTATGTGAGATGTAGTTTTGTCATCTTTGCCTCCAAGGCACTCACTGGCTAGACTTTCCCCAAGACATAGCTGTCCTGGAGAAATCACTAAGAGTAGACAAAAACTGGAGATAAAGATACAATATGATTAATAAATTAATCCAGGGATGTTGTTGTTGTTGTTACTATGTGCCATCAAGTTGAGTGCAACTTATAGTAACCCCATGAACAATGGACTTGTTGCCTGTCCTATGCTATTATCATCATATCTGATATACACAGTTCACTATTACAGACATCAATCTACCCTGTTGAGGGTTTTTCACTGACCCTCTACCTTTCCCAGCAAAAGGTTCTTCTCCAAGGACTAGTCCCTCTCACCCCAGTCAAAATAGCAAAATTTAACAGAACAGCAAGCAAAAAATGCTGGCGAGGTTGTGGAGAAACTGGAACCCTGATTC